CCGAATCGCCGTGAAGGGGGGAAGGGTACACCCACACAGTGGGCAGTATGGTGGCCTGAGCCCACACGGCTGCAACCACGGTTACATCACCTCCCATTGCATCCACATCATCTCCCAACACATCCATATCACCTCCCACTGCGGCAACTCCATCCCCCACTGCAACTACTCCACTTCCCAAAAACTCCTGTATGCCAGTGTCAACCAGTGCCAGTGTCTGTGGCCCCTGTACAGAATAAGAAATGGAGACGCAGTCAGTCTGGTAGAGGATGAGGAGGTAGCACAACTGTCCCAGAAGAACAAGGCGGAGACAGGAGCAGGGCCATATGAAGATTCAGAGGATGAAGCAGTAATGACCACTTGATCGTTATCCCTGAGGGAGCTATGAGATATCTATAGGGACTTCAGCCATTGTCCAGGTGAACCTATTATCACCCTTCTGCTCTGCTACTGGGATAATGGGGCCAGAGAGGCCAAGCAGTTGGGGTCATCAAATGCTGGAGAATGGGGCATTGACAAAGCGATTGGAAGAAAGACACAAAATGTAAGCCTCTGGAGACAAGTCCTGACAAGCGTGAAGGAAAGGTAGCCTTTCAAGGAAAGTGTGCCATATCAGCCGTGTAAATGGACCACCATGGAGAAAGGTATCCAGGACCTCAGGGAACCAGCTGTGCTAGAGATAGTTTATTGTGACGCAAACAATACAAAGACACCCACAGATCCAGGTGAAATTCAATGCACACGACCCATGTGGTGGAAACTAATGCAGAGTGCACCTTCCTTGTACGCCAGTATGCTTGCAACGGACTGTTAAAGACCACCCTGAGAGCAATGGAGGATGGAACTCTGAAGAATTGGGACACCAATTCAGCAAAAGCCACTTGGTTGATCAAGACTAGAGGATGTGTCAGTGATGCTGGCCCTGCCCAATCAATGCTTTTACTTACTATAGAAGAAGATAAAGTCCCTGCAGCGCATGTTTAAAAGATGCTGGAAAAAACAGTCTGGGTTACTTCTGCCTCGGGCAAAGGCAAACCCATCCATGGGATTGCTTTTGCTCAAGGACCTGGATGTACTTGGTGGGTAATGAGAGAAGATGGGCAAGTCTGATGTGTACTTCAAAGGGATTTGATTCTGGGGGAAAATAGCCCATGAATTAAATTGCACGATGAATATTAATTGTTGAAACTAACCCTTGTTCTGACTTTTGTGTCGTAGGAGTCACTACAGCAGAAATCACCTGAACAGACAAAGGACAAGGCTTGAGAGAAGAGCAGCAGTGACCTGACCTAAGGTGGCTTCAGCGCCCAACAATCCCACAAGACACTGCACCTTTTCTGTCCTGAGTGACCACCACAACAGACGGAACCTGAAGTCATGGACTAATGGACATCTTGCCAAGATGGTCCATAGACTAAAGAAATGATATCTGTGTGGGATGGGAAAAGAGAAGCGCGTTAATGAGAATTTACGGAATAGTGTGGGACTTGAGCACGATGTAAACAGTATGAAACAAGGGGTTGAGAATGTTCTGGTTTCAGGCAGAAACGAGCTCCTCTCCTACACAGAGCTGGCTGGCCCAGAGCGGCCAAGAGATTAGTTTCACTCCATAGTACATCAGGCTCTGTGGTCAGGCTGAGTGTGCACATGTGCAGTTTTGGCTTGGGGGACTCCTTCCTGCTCTGAGACCTGGCTGTGTGTCGGTCAGTGCGTGGTGAGCAACAGTATCACATGTTCTATTTTCTATTCTTTTAATTACTTATTATTAGTAGTATTGTTAGCATTAGTATCACTGTGATTTTAATTTATATTATTGAATAGTTCTTACCGCTATTTTATGAGCTTTCCTTGTCTTTTCCTCCAACCCTTCTCCACTGGGCAGGTGAAAGGGAGGTGATTGAGTGACTGAGTGATACTTAATTGCCAGATAAGGCTAAACCATGACACACTTCTATGACTGACTGTATGAGAGGTCGTGAAAAAGATATCCATGTGCCCTTTCTGCCTCAAATATTTCTGCCTGGTATTTCAGAAACAAAAGATTAGAAAGGAGGAGCTGGAACATGAAGTACAACCCTCAACACCTGACAGAACTATGTAACAGCCTTAAAATCCATACTAACATCCACTCTGCTCTTGCAACATCATGAGCCTTAAGAACAACCTGTTGTAAATTATCCTATAATGATAACAAAGCTTAATTTGTTAAGTCTTTTATTACAGAGAAAAATATATCATAGGGGCAGAGGAAAAGAAAAAGGGCTGTCAGCACCCTAAGTCCCTGTAATGTTATGATATTTCATTGGTGAAATATTCTCAGATTTATTTAGGAAGCTTATGTTCTCAACACTTCATACAAACTGTTCATAGATCCAGTGGTATAGCTACAGGCATTTGAGCAAGATCACCTTAGCAAAGTACTTGAGATGTTTCTTTGTACTGACAGAACACTAAGCACTTCACATTCTTCCTTACTGTGATTAGTCTTCAGTATCTCAGAGAAAACCAAATGCCTCCTCTTCAGTCTTACAGAAAACAGGTGAAAGCCTTAAAGCATTTGATTTATTAAAGACAATATAAGCCAAAAAATTACTATTGGTGTATTAAAAAGTTACCTATGTGAGACAAAATGAATACTGCAAAAATATAGAAATGACCATCCCAAGAATTTGGCCAAACTTTCTTGTTTGACACTTAGGCCACAGAACTCCCTCGTATGTCAAGATCTTAGATTAAAGCACATCCCTGAAAAGTTAACATTTTTTGTGCAAATGGTTTGGCCACCTGCCTTAAATATTCCAGGTTGTCTGGGATATTGTTTGTACTTACCTGAAAATTAGGTTGAAATACACAGCAGTTGACAGTACTGTAGTGCCCTCTAAGCAGAGTTATCAGTTCCCCAGTGAAAATTGTATAAACAGCAATGGTACTGCCATAAGGTACAAAGGCAAATTCTGGATTACAGCCACAAGAGATGCTGAATTTGAGTCCTTTTCTACTTTCATTACAGACTTTCCCATAATTCACCTGTAAAATGAAGGATTATGCAGTTAGCTATTAACTAAAACTACAGGAAATAACTTTTCAAGAAAAGGTCAATTTCATTTTTTCTTTAATACACAATAAAATTAATTTTAAGCATCCCAATGTTAATACAGCTCTTGAGATTTCCAATTACAGATGTCTATCAAGAAAACAATTTTTCTGTTCACTGAAGTTCACTCTCCTTAATATCAGCTTCAAGAATGGGAAAGAAAGGTATGTCTGAAAATCAGCAGTATCACACTGAGAAACAGAATTTGCACAGGCTGCTGTGTGCCAGATGTACAGTGAGTACCTAAACTACCACTGAAATTAGGACTGGTTCAGGAATTACTGCCTTAAATACTTCTACAGATAATTCAACATAATACTTTTCTTTCAAATATTGAAACTATTAAAAGAACTCCTTCTGCACAACAGTATACAGTTTTAACTAGAATAGAATAGTTTGGGCTGGAAGGGATCTTTAAAGGTCACCTAGTCCAACCCCTGTGCAATGAGCAGGGTCACCTTCAACTAGATCAGGTTGCTCAAAGCCTTGTCCAACCTGACCTTGAATGTTTCCAAGAATGAGGCATCTACCACCTCTCTGAGCAACTTGTTCCAGTGTTACACCACCCTCATCGTAAAAAATTTCTTCCTTATATCTGAATTTATCCTTCTTTAGTTTAAAACCCTTACCCCTGGTCCTATTGCAACAGGTCCTCCTAAAAAGTTTGTCCCCATGTTTCTTATAAGCCTCCTTTAAGTACCGAAAGGCTGCAATAAGGTCTCCCCTTATTTTTTTAATAAAAATAAGAGTATTTTAAATTTAAATTCATTAATATTACATAGCATTATATATAAAACATGTGTTTTCAAATAGTATTGTCCTACAACCTGTGCTCTTAATTTCTGCTGAAAAACAGAGATTCACTTATATGTACAGTATTAGCAAAGCTCTCTGCTTAATTTTAAAGCTTGCTATGGAAAGCTCATTGCCTATAGTTATAAAAACAATAAATCCTAGGTGTGAAATCTTTTGACTAGAAGCTAACAGATTTGTAAAGTTTATCAGGCAAATATTCTAATAAAAATGCCTTGCTTTGTCAGGTTCTTTGAGGCAAACATAAGTGTCAGTCAGCACAAGCAATGCAAGGAAGAAGACTACTTGTCGCGCTGTTATAGAGTATGCTCTTTCATAGCAAAGAGGATTTATGTAGGAACAGTATAATAAAAAGGAGTCCTGATAAAATCTCTCTCAATGACCATAAACATGTATACAAAGAGAGTTTGGTTAGCATTCCAGCAGGTTGATATTTTTTCATATTGAGAGGACATTTTCATCAGATGTGGAGCTTATGTCATGTGTTTTGTGGATAATCCTCTCATTTTGTAAACACAGTGTTTGTAAATATTGACTGTGTTAACTCTTATTAACGCTAGTCATGTTAAGAGGCGTATTACTCTGCTGATAAAGGGCAATTAAACTCCTCTACGCAGTATGTGAGCTGTAACAGCAACAGTTCCCAAGCCACAGCACTGTTCATACATACCAAAGGCATGTACAATGAAAGGGAGGAGTGGAGACTGGGGAAAGTACATTATATGGATATACTCAGTGTAAATGTTCCTGTTTGATAGAGGAGCAATAGACAGACAAGGATGCTGCCAAAACAAGAACTGAAAAAGATGTTAAAAACTGCCTTTGTCCTTTCAGCACACAGACAAAGAGAAAACCTGCTTCCTTCTGTTTGATTCTTCCTATACTCAGGACTTTCTATTCCATTTTGAGATAAAGGTTGTATGCAAAATGTGTATGACTCCTAAATTCATTTATCTTACTAACTGAAACAATTCACTAGCCCCCAGATTTGGCTCATTGCTCAAGAGAATTCATATGCATGGCTTAATTTCTATACATTTCCAATGGTAAGAAAAAAATCATGGGTATCTAAAGGACTGGCTAAGAGGGGAAATAAAGGGCCTATGGTGTGAACTTGCATTTATTTGTCTCCTAGTGCCTTAAAATTATTTTAAGCAATACCTCTGGGCAGTGTGTGAAAATAAAGTATTCTGGACAATATAATTCTTGACTTGAAAAAGCAAGGCAGAATCAAGCTATTCCATACCAAATAAGAAAACTGCAAAATAGCAAATGAAACAACTCAATGAACTAACAGGCACAGAAAAACAAAAAACAGTGATACAGCTGGTGATGGGAGAGTGAACAAACTGAATTATCTTCTTTGGTGATGGTGATTTGAAGACAGAAAGATGTCTTTATATGAAGTGCTGAGAACAAGCTGGCGAATATGGGTAACATGGAAATAGAAAAGTCCTTTCATTTAAATGCCTATAAGGAGTTATTTTTGCTGTGTTCTGAAAACAAGAAGCACAAGTGAAATATTTCTACAGCAGACTAAAATTTCTTCCTTTCCTGATAGCAACAACATAACATAATCACTATTGAGCAAAATCTCATGGAACTGACTTACCTCCTATGTCTGTCTTTCAAAATAAACATAGAAAACAAATTTCTTTACTGAACAGAAAATTAAAATAGGAACCTTTAGCAAAAAACAAGGCTTAGAAAGGACTGGAGAAGCAGTAGAGGTAGTTTTCATTACTGTCTGAAGTGTTTTCAGCTATGCTCACTAATTAATATTCAATCTTTAAATAGATCCAGGCTTCTTAATATTCTTCTTTTTTCCCCCCATATAATAAGTAGAAATATTATCAAATAATATAGTAGAAATAAGAAAAAAATCTGGAAAAAATGCTCACAAAATTTTCAAATTATGAGAATAAGCACCTATATACTTTATGAAAATGAATAAATTCCCAAAGTTGTAATGACAATTGCACAAATTATAAATCTTCTAAAATTAAGTGCAAATAAAAACATAACTGAAGTTCCTTGACAACTTACTAACGTGTTTTCTCCAGTGGAACTGTTCCAGAGTCGCATCCGATCATCTGTACCAATGGTCAACAGATGAAGGCCATCATTTGTGTAGCATAAACCATTAACTCTTCCATTATGAGCAGTGTTTACTGTCAGGACAAAGAGCTGGTTCAGATTTCTACAGAAGAATTACTATTTTGTATACACATTCTTATTTCAATGTATAGTACTGTAAGTTCCATATGAATAGTAACATATTAATAAATCAATAATTTAACCCTTGGTTTATAAAAGCATCTGGCTGGTGAGCAGTCACCAGTGGTGCTCTTCAGGCCTTAATCCTAGGACCAGCACTGTTCCATGTACTTATCAACGATCCGGATGCAGGAGTTGAACCCACCCACCATTAGCAAATTTGCTGATGATACCAAACTGGGAGGTGCTGTTGACTCTCTTGAGGGACAAGAGGCCTGGCAGAGGGATGGGGATAGATTGGAGCATTGGGCAATCATCCATGGCATAACATTTAACAAGAACAAATGTTGGATTCTGCTCCTGGGGCCGAGGAATGCTGGGCACAACTCTGACCTGGGAGAAGAGTGGCTGGAGAGCA